GAGGAAGTTCTGGTTGTTCGTCCACTTCTGGACTGTTCCAGAAACTGAATGTTGAGCGCACATTTGTTTCACATGTCTGGCTCATGTGAATGTAGACTGTTGGTTCAGTGCCTCTCAGGCAGATGTACTACGACTTCGAAGGAAGCTCTCATTTAGTCGACTCTTACCACATGTTTCTGGGCAGGCAGTGGGTCTGTTCTTGTTTTCCCTACAACATGGCCCCGGAACCCACACGGGGAGGTTACCGAGTAACCTGTATTCTAGTCTGGGTGGTGTGTTTCTGAGACAAATCAGTCGATCCGCTTGATCCCTCACGGCTGAAACGTACCGATTTACCATACCATCCTGAGATTTAATAATCTCATCTGGAAAACTCTGGGTGTCGAGGGACATAAAATTATGCTTCCTGTTCAGCCTCTACAGAAGTTTTCTTCTCCTGCTTCTTCACGTTCACCAGCTGTAAACTGACGGAAAGTTCTGGTTGTTCGCTCACTTCGCGACTGCAGACCTGTTTCAGAACTTGAATGTTGCGTACGCATCCGTTTGACAGACTGTTGGTTCCTTGCACTCTGACTTTGAAGGAAGCTCCTAATTAATCGACTCTTACGACATGCTTTTGGGTAGGCAGTGGGTTTATTCTTGTTTTTCCTATAACAGGGCCCCGGAACCCACACGGGGATATAGAAGTTATAATTAGGGCACCCGTGTAACGGCTACAACAACCAGATATAACCTGCAGTGCTGTGCGATTAAGGGCCCCTTTTTGGGGGTCAAGTTTCACCCCTCCAGATTTGCTATGCAAATCCGGGAAATTCTGTTCAGTCATTAGGCCATGCATATGGCACAAGTATAATTTATATTATTATATCGTGATAAATAAGACAGCAACAATGAGCAGATTAACACAAACAGTTTGGAAGAACAGAAAACTCGCGATTCAAACAAAATCTTTTGTCTGTCAGGCTTGTGTTCTCAGCACTCTGCTTTATGGCAGTGAAACTTGGTCAACTTATTCGTACCACGAGAAATGGCTAAATGCTTTAACATGCGATGCCTAAGAAGAATACTTGGCATTAAAGGTCAGTACAAGATCGCAAACGCTGAGGTATTGGTAAGAGGAGATATTACAACAGTTTTCTCAATATTCAGTCTATGACAACTCAGGTGGCTGGGTCACACCTGGAAAATAGAGGATGGCAGAGTCCCTAAGGACATCCTTTATAGTGAATTAAATAGGGATAGAAGATGTTGAGGCCGACCTCTACTATGACACAAAGATGTGTGCAGGATGGACATGAATGATACAGGTATTGAGGGGAACTCGTGGGAACAAAATGCTACGGATCCTGTTGTGGGGAGGGGGCACATCAGCAATAGAACAACAATGAACCACAATATGACTGCAGACAGGATGAGAGCCGAGCTCTGAAAAGAAACACAAACATTGAGAAAAACCCCATACTATAACTGTGGAAGACCTCTCTAAACGCGGGCGGGTCTTGCTAGTCACACTCACTATCGCCAGGGCTGTGAGTCCCAAGCCTCATCATAGCACAATATAACACTATCGTCTGGAAATACGGAAAGGTGCCAACCATATTGTAGCATCACAAACGTCTCCAGGTAACAGGTGGTCTAATGTGGGTAAGTCCTGTAGTAAGAACCTAAGAAGAAGAAAGAGTTAAAGTGGTCTGCCTGTACCCGCCGGGGCAGAAGTTGCGCGAGGTGGATGCGCACAGGACAGCTGCGTTGTCTGGATTCTTTGTGCCATACTTCGCATACCAGTTCTGAAGTTCCAGAACTCTTTAATTCCATTAAAGCAGTTGTGAAACTATTACAAACCCATTCTGGAGGTCTCGAAAGGTGTGTATGCAACTTATCGTTGATTAGTTCGCTGTATTTTTGCGGTAATTCGCGAATTTCTGCATGGGAATGACAGCAATGGCCGTGCGCGGTTCGAATCTCTGAGATGCTTGTCATTCTTGCAAATCGAACTTCCGGATATCTCACCTTAGCTGGGCGTCGTTGTTTTGAACTGGCGAATTTACTTCTCTCGCTGATTAATTCACAATTAATGCACAATCTGTGCAGTATTAAATAACCAAAAGAAACTGACAGACATAAATATACAATATCGATATAGAAACAAACTATAGATATTCCATTATACATATAAATCATAATGATCTCAGATAGGTTGAACAGGATATCATCATCATCATTGGGGTGTTGAGTTGAAGATTTTTTGTTGTCTACTAAATTTACTTCTGCTAGCTTAGCTAAAACTAGAACTACTTTTTTCTGATTGAGACACTGACTTTTGTAACAGGCGAACTTGATTCTGTAGAACGATTTTCTGGCTACTGCTACTGTAGACTAAGATTGTTGATTGTATCGCCTAATGATCCTAATCGCCGTGGCTACCCTGGGTAGTACCCGTGTGCCTTTGTTTCCAACTACTCTTCCTTGGGGCTGAGGCGAAGATTTTGTTGTTCTTGGTACTTTAGCTTAGCTGCTAATACCACTTAGCCTCTACAACAGTGGCTCTCAACCTTCCTAATGCCTCTACCCTTTAATACAGTTCCCTCATGTTGTGGCGACCTCCAAACAATTTTTCCATTTATAAATTCAATGAATATGTGTTTTCCGATGGTCTTAGGGGACCCCTTTAAAAGGGTCGTTTAACCCAAAAAAAGGGTCGTGACCAGCAGGTTTAGAACCGCTGCTCTACAACAGCTGAACCAAGGATACCCGGAAATTATCTGGGAAGTTAAAGTGGTCGATGTGATAGTGACCTACATTACGCATGCAGTGTCCATTAGTCTTTACTCTTGAATTAGAAACTGCTACCCACCTTCTGCTAGACTCACAACCATCGGCACCTACTTACGACCACACACAAAAATATATCATAGAGAAAGAAAGATAACATGTTAGAATTTTTTTGTTTATTGTACAATGTTTATAACCCGTTCATTTGAATTAAAATAGTGTTGAAAAATCTAAATATGACTTACAACCTGTTAGAACAAAACTTGGTCATAAGTCAAGGTCTGTATACGCCCCATGGTGCGGAAAAGAGCACCTCTTAAAACTTTTAGCAAGACATTTTCAGTTCAGGTTGATAGTTACCACTATTAAACTTAAAAAGAAGCAGGAGGTTCTTTTGCTTGTGATAGAACTGGATCCATAAATCCAGAAAGCAAGCAACATGGCTGCTTGTTTCAGGTTAGTTATTTTTCTGGTTTCAATCTGACGGTATTAATCATTAAAGTGTACCTCTGTTTTGACGGTATTAATCATTGAAGTGTACCTCTGTTTTGACGGTATTAATCATTGAAGTGTACCTCTGTTTTGACGGTTTTTAAACATTGAAGTGTACCTCTGTTTTGACGGTATTAATCATTGAAGGGTACCTCTGTCTTGATGGTATTAATCATTGAAGGGTACCTCTGTTTTGATGGTATTAATCATTGAAGGGTACCTCTGTTTTGATGGTATTAATCATTGAAGTGTACCTCTGTTTTTATGGTATTAATCATTGAAGGGTACCTCTGTCTTGATGGTATTAATCATTGAAGGGTACCTCTGTTTTGATGGTATTAATCATTGAAGTGTACCTCTGTTTTTATGGTATTAATAATTGAAGGGTACCTCTGTCTTGATGGTATTAATCATTGAAGTGTACCTCTGTTTTGACGGTAATAATCATTGAAGGGTACCTCTGTCTTGATGGTATTAATCATTGAAGTGTACCTCTGTTTTGATGGTATTCATCATTGAAGGGTACCTCTGTTTTGATAGTATTAATCATTGAAGGGTACCTCTGTTTTGATGGTATTAATCATTGAAGGGTACCTCTGTCTTGATGGTATTAATCATTGAAGTGTACCTGTTTTGATGGGTATTAATCATTGAAGGGTACCTCTGTTTTGATGGTATTAATCATTGAAGGGTACCTCTGTTTTGATGGTATTAATCATTGAAGGGTACCTCTGTCTTGATGGTATTAATCATTGAAGTGTACCTCTGTTTTTATGGTATTAATCATTGAAGGGTACCTCTGTTTTGACGGTATTAATCATTAAAGGGTACCTCTGTTTTGATGGTATTAATCATTGAAGTGTACCTCTGTTTTGATAGTATTAATCATTGAAGGGTACCTCTGTTTTGACGGTATTAATCATTGAAGGGTACCTCTGTTTTGATGGTATTAATCATTAAAGGGTACCTCTGTTTTAATGCCATTTCATTTTCCATGAATTTTGAACTTGAAACTAATTAAATTGTAATTGTATGGTGCTGTAAACTATTAGCACCACATTCAAATGAAAGTGTTTTCAACCTTAAAACTTTGACATCCTACATTAGCGCTATTCAGCTGACAGCCCGAGGGTAAAATCTGGCCTGCAGTTACATAGCTAGTGGCCCACGGATCATTGCCAGTTGTACTGTATTAATGAACTTGCTACGATGGGGCTCAGGCTTGTGATGATCCCCAGTTTAAAATGTTTGCCCGTGAGGAAACTTAATTGAAGAGCCCTGTCCTACATGATCTGGACATTGAGAAGAACTGGCTCATAAACAGCATATTGTCCTGAAAATGAGGTGTTTTGACCATGTTAAACATCCTGGTGGCCTGAAAACAAAATGAATGAACTAAATTTTTACGGGATTAAGAACTTGGAGCACAGATCCAGCAGACATTCTGCCTTGAAGAAGACACATCAGAGGTGAGTTGAGGTCAGAATGGACATCATAGCACTCCAGCCATACCCATAAGTGTTCTAATGCTACTGGTAGTTTATTATATGTCAGTCTTGCCTTTTTCTGGATGAGAGGGGAAATGTGGATTAAGAGTTAATTTTGCATGACATTCATATAACAGTCTTTGGAAAATGCAAAGCAAACACAAGTTTTCTAATGGACATTTGAATATTTATATATTTGGTCATGGACATTTGAACATACGTTTTTCCTCTAAAGGTTGCCAATGAGGCATGTCATCCGCCTGGAGCAGCACTGCAGGTGAGAATCCCAACGCAGGGGCCCATGACTCACTGAGCAACTGCAGTGAGGGCAAAGGGAATAACTCTGGAGATGAGTTGTCTGATGCTGAAGGTGTCTGGAGCCCAGACATTGAGCAGAGCTTCCAGGAAGCCCTGGCCATTTACCCACCATGTGGCAGGCGGAAAATTATCCTCTCAGACGAAGGGAAGATGTACGGTGAGTGTGTGTGTGTTGGTGGTGAATCTGTACTTTTATGTGTGTGGCTCATTACAGCTCAGCCCTTATCTATTAATTCTTCTTCTTCTTCTTTTGTCGTCTCACTGATACCAGGTTGTAGCCCAGTGTCGTGGTTTTGTCGTCTCACTGATACCAGGTTGTAGCCCAGTGTCGTGGTTTTGTCGTCTCACTGATACCAGGTTGTAGCCCAGTGTCGTGGTTTTGTCGTCTCACTGATACCAGGTTGTAGCCCAGTGTCGTGGTTTTGTCGTCTCACTGATACCAGGTTGTAGCCCAGTGTCTTTGTTTTGTCATCTCACTGATACCAGGTTGTAGCTCAGTGTCTTAGTTTTGTCGTCTCACTGATACCTGGTTGTAGCCCAGTGTCGTGGTTTTGTCTTCTCACCAATACTGAGTTGTAGCCCAGTGTCTTGGTTTTGTCATCTCACTGATAACAGGTTGTAGCACAGTGTCTTGGTTTTGTCATCTCACTGATACCAGGTTGTAACACAGTGTCTTGGTTTTGTCATCTCACTGATACCTGGTTGTAGCCCAGTGTCTTGGTTTTGTCGTGTCACTGATACCAGGTTGTAGCCCAGTGTCTTGGTTTTGTCATCTCACTGATACCAGGTTGTAGCCCAGTGTCTTGGTTTTGTCGTGTCACTGATACCAGGTTGTAGCCCAGTGTCTTGGTTTTGTCGTGTCACTGATACCAGGTTGTAGCCCACAGTCATGGTTTTGTCGTCTTACCAATACCGAGTTGTAGCCCAGTGTCTTGGTTTTGTCATCTCACTGATACCAGGTTGTAGTCTAGTGTCTTGGTTTTGTCATCTCACTGATACCAGGTTGTAGTCTAGTGTCTTGGTTTTGTCATCTCACTGATACCAGGTTGTAGTCCAGTGTCGTGGTTTTCTGTATTTGTCTAGCACTTCTCGGTGGCTTAGGTAATGGATTTGTAAAACTTTTTGCACGTTTCAGCTACACCATTTATCCTTCTCTTTCTTGGTCTTCCCCTCACCTTCCTCCCAGATGTTCTGCTGTAGACATATCGTTTCTGTTGTTTTGATTTTGTCAATCAGATACCTATCTGGTGTTTCACAAATGGGCTCCGGGGCCTCATTATGGGGAAACCTATAACAGATCCACTGACCCTCCACCAAATATGTTGTATGAGTCGACTAATTAGAGGCTTCCTTTGAAGTCGGTGTGCCTCTGCCTGAGAGGGGAGGAACCAGCAACCTGCATACAAATAAGTCAGATCTTTCAAATGGAAGTGCGTGCAGGACTTATGTTTGAACACAAGAAAAGTCTAGAGTGGAGAAAGATCCAGAACTTTCTGCCGAGGTTTACACAGCCATTGACCTCGCACACAAAAAAGATACCTAAATGTTCTTAGTTCAAGAAAGTCTCTTAAAGTATGTAGAGTCTCTTGAGAGGGAAGCTGCCGGCTCACCCTACACGGCAGTGGTCTAGAACTAGAATGTGAACTATCCCCTGTACCAGTGGTTCCCAGTTAGCTTAGATCTGCCTACCCCCCTTGTTTTCAAATGTCTGCCCCAGAAAGACCCCATATTTTTTCAAGTCATACTGGGCTTATTATAATTGTTAAATGCAATCGCAAACAAGGATAGCATTCTGTAATTGAAGTTATTTCGTTTGTAAGTGATATCACACACCTGTTATCTGTTTCACTACCAACCAACTCCACAATACGCTTATCGATGACTCAGTATGTGGTGTGGAATACATTTCTTAACTCTTTAGGTTCAGTTTCGTTGTGAGGGTAATTCATTTTATTTTCAACATGATACTTACTCCTTGCCACCCATGGTTACATTTCTTCCTAAAGTCCATGCCATGTGGCATTGGTAGTAATGCCTATCCACAGCCGTCTGTCTCTTTTACTTATAGCTAAAACAGATGATCCTCTATACCATTGTCCAGCATCTGTTCTCTCAGTCTCCCTCTGCATCTCCTCCCCTCCAGTTTTCCTATTGTCACCATGTTCTCCAGCTTTCTCCGTCCTTTTCACCACATGACCAAAGAAAGAATGCAGATTGTCTCTTTCTGATGTGGGTTATCAGTTCTCTTCATGAATCAATTTCTTTTAAGACTCTGTCCAGGATATTATTATTCGTCTTCAAAACCACATCTTCACAGCTTCCAAATCAATTTTCACTAATCTACCTACTGCCCTTGATTAACTTCTGTATATCAGTATAGAATTTATATAGCTTTTAAGAATTCTCTTTCTTGTCTCAATTGACAGAGAAAGATTGCATAGAATATTTTTCATTCTGTGAAAAGCTGCCCTTACTTGAGCAATTCTACATTTAACTTCTTTAATGCATCTCCCAACTCTTATTTTATGTATAAAGTTTAGGATATCACTGTTTAGGCAAAAACTCTCTTAGGCTGAAAGGTTTACATTTTTTCCTAGGTTCTGCTACCACCAGATGGGAAGGACAGCCCTGTTCCCTCCCCGTCGATTTCTCTTGACTGTCTTCAGTATCAAAGCTTATTGAAATACATTTTGTAACAATACACAGCCAGAAAACAAAATCATGACCTATCCTTTCCATGTGACTTGTCACATTTGTAAACAAACCTGCTCATGTTGGCAGAAACATTCAATTACTCCAACAGCTTTGTAATAACATATCTCTGTGGAATGTGTCTGGTGTGTTTGTTGACATTTTATTATACTGATTGAGGTTAGTTTATTATTGGGCTGTAATTAATTGGTTGCATTAAATTTGTTACCATCTCAGTATGCTTTCTGTAACGTCGTCTCGCTTGTGGGTTACCTAGCTTTCTGTAATGTCATCTCCCTTGTGGGTTCCATGGCTTTCTGTAATGTCATCTCCTGTGTGGGTTACCTGGTTTTCTGTAATGTCATCTCCCTTGTGGGTTACCTGGCTTTCTGTAATGTCATCTCTCTTGTGGGTTCCCTAGCTTTCTGTAATGTCATCTCCCGTGTGGGTTCCCTGGCTTACTATAATGTCATCTCCCTTGTGGGTTCCATGGCTTTCTGTAATGTCATCTCCTGTGTGGGTTCCCTGGCTTTCTGTAATGTCAACTCCCTTGTGGGTTCCCTGGCTTTCTGTAATCTCATCTCCCTTGTGGGTTCCCTGGCTTTCTGTAATGTCATCTCCTGTGTGGGTTCCCTGGCTTTCTGTAATGTCATCTCCCTTGTGAGTTCCCTGGCTTTCAGTAATGTCTTCTCCCGTGTGGGTCCCCTGGCTTTCTGTAATGTCATCTCCCTTTGGTGTTACCTGGCTTTCTGTAATGTCATCTCCCTTTTGTGTTACCTGGCTTTCTGTAATGTCATCTCCTGTGTGGGTTCCCTGGCTTTCTGTGATGTCATCTCCCTTGTGAGTTCCCTGGCTTTCAGTAATGTCATCTCCCGTGTGGGTTCCCTGGCTTTCTGTAATGTCATCTCCCGTGTGGGTTCCCTGGCTTTCTGTAATGTCATCTCCCTTTGGTGTTACCTGGCTTTCTGTAATGTCATCTCCCTTTTGTGTTACCTGGCTTTCTGTAATGTCATCTCTCGTGTGGGTTCCCTGGCTTTCTGTAATGTTATCTCCCTTGTGGGAAACAAAATAAGGAACCAGAAGTCTTCATACAGATTAGCCAGGTCTGTAAAACGAATGTGCACACAAAACTAGTTCTGAAACAAGACCACAGTCCAGAAGCGGACGAACAACCAGAATTTTCCGCCATAATTTACAACCAGTGAACGTTAAGAAAAGGAAGATGAAGAAGAAGAAGGTGGCATCAAGGTGCAGATATCCCTGTAAACCACAACATGTCAATCTGTTTCTTCAGAGTCAACTCAGAAAAAGAAGGGTCGTATTTAGACTGAAGCCGATTCACTTTCTTCAACCACTGTCATCATCATCATCATCATCATCATAAACCACTTCTGCCGTTAAGCATCGTGGGAAGGAATAATTTGCGATCCAGTGCACTTTGGCTGCCACTGGCTATTGTTATGCCTTGAAGGCGTAGAGTGTCTTTAGTGTTGTAGATCCATGTTTTCCGCGGCCATCCTCTTGCTCTTGTAGTTGATCTTCTGAGATGTAGTGCTTCAACCACTGTATTGATCATTTTCGGCTCTTCCTGTTGATTTGTTACTATGAATTTGGTGTCTTCAGTATAATGTGCCATATTTTCCCCAAGTATAAAACCCACTAATGTTTTAAAAATATAGGGTGTAAAAACTTTTTTCTTTCCTTTTTTATACAATGATGGTAGATTTTTTTTCTTGTCAAAATGGTTTGTTAGAACATATTCCATACAGGGCCTCATTTGGGAATGCCGGTTCAGAGGCGATGTAAAATGGAAGAGTTTGTACTTGGTTGAAAAGATCCTGGAATACTGTGAAGATTGTGATTGTTGTCAAGTCGTTCAAGAATAGTGGTATTTCAGATACCACAGATGGAAATGGGGGGTGCAGCTTTATGTGAAGGTAATGATTTGTCAACTGACACAGACGAGGTCAAGCTGAATAATTATCATGTAGATGAGAGTGTTGACAGTGATGATGAATTTTCTGGTTTATACGATAAATAAAACTGACTCACATGGTATGTGGAGAAAGGCATGCTCTGTGCAGAGTGGCAAGCATCGCTTCAGAGTCGCATGTAGTTGACATCCTATGGATATTTTCTCCAGGTCATTCTGGTGTGTTTGGAAGTGAGTAGGCTGATAGTCTGGCCAATTCTGCACCACTTGGTGGTGAACTGACGTTTGACAAGCTAGGTTTTGTGAGGGCCTTTGGGAAGTAAGTGATCAGTGTGGTGGCACAAATAGATCATTATGGCCTGAGGAGAATTCCGCTGCAGGGAGTTACCAGGGGATCTTACCGATGCTCAACACTCAGGAGAAAGGCGAGACAGGTGTGCGGTCAGACACTTACTGGTACCATCGGATTTGGAACTTTTCACTTGCTGCTAAAGATGGGGACAGAGTGCTTATGAGTGTCCCAAGTGCTGTGG